TGCCGGACCCCCATGGGCGTCGACGATGACGTCGTCGTGCTCGTGTGCCCCGAGGGCGCCGGGCCCGACCAGCCCATCTTCTTCCGCGACCGCGGCGAGAAGTGCAAGACCGTCGTCCCGCGGAACGTGCGGCCCGGCCAGCGCTTCCGCGTGAAGCGGAGCGAGTGCCTCCTCCGCAAAAAGGAGCGGCCGAGGACCGCGCAGGCCGCGCTCAGAACACGGCGGCCCGACGGCGTGCCCGAGCTGAAGACGACGGAGCTGGACGCGCACGCCAAGTCGACGCAGGCCATGATGGACCTCATGATGCCGCGGTCGCTCCGCCGGTCCGTTACTCGGCCGGAGATCACGCCGGCGGACCGCGCGCTCATCACGGCGTACCAGGCGCGCCAGCGCGCGGGCAAGTGCCAGGACGAGGGCTTCTGGAAGCAGCAGGGCTTCCGCGCCGCCGGCGACCCCGACGCGTTGACGGCCGAGAAGAAGAAGGACTACGGCTACGGCGCGCCCAAGTGGTCGCCCTACTACCGCCAGCTCGAGCCCGACAAGGTCCGGTCCAAGGAGGCCCAGGAGCGCTCCACGAAGGCGCTCGGCGATCAGGCCTGGTGGGAGCAGTACGGCTTCAAGGGCTCCATGTCCGAGGAGAAGAAGCGCGACTACGGCAACGGCGTGCCCGGCTGGAGCCCCTACCACCGCTCCGACGAGCTCAAGCCCGGCGAGAAGCCGGGCGAGAAGACGGGCCTGCCCGCCGACGCCTTCTGGTTCCAGCAGTGGGGCTTCCGCACCGGCGCCGTCTCCGAGGAGAAGCGCCGCGACTACGGCTACGGCGTGCCCATGTGGTCGCCCTACTACCGGTCCAACAAGCCCCCGCGGAGCGCGCCGAGCGCGCCCAAGTGAGCGGACGGGAGTGTGCGGGGGTGGGAGGAGCCTCGATCGGCTAAAGTGCTCGAACTTGACCTGCACGTTTCCTCGTTGAAGGCGAAGTGCGACGAAGACTTGAGTCGACTCGGCCGACGCTCTGCGGGCAAAAGGCTCCGAGTCGTCCTTCGGCTCAGCGCTGCGTCCGCACCGGTCGCCCCACACGTCGTGCGCGTGGCCGCATTGACCACCCGCTACATCTTCTCCTCGCGCCGCGCCGTCTCGTAGCTCATGGGCGCGTCGCTGTCGCGGCGCGGGGCGTCGCCCGTCGAGGGCGCGCCCGAGGCCCCCGAGGCCACCAAGCGCCCCCGCGCGGCCTCGAAGGAGGAGGTGCAGTTCACGCGCGTTCTCGAGCACGGCCACAACGTCTCCGCGATCCTCGCCTTCGCGGGCTACCGAAACGTGCTCACCCTCGAGGCGCTCTGCCCGCGCGCGCGGCGCCTGATCCGCGGCGCGCGCGTGGAGCTCGACGTGTCCAACGAGACGAACCTCCTCGTGGCCGTCAAGGCCGCGGCGCGCGCCGAGCTCTTCGAGGCGCGGCGCTCGGGCGCGAGCGGCGCCAAGACGCACTACAAGTTCGTCTTCGACGACTGCCGGGCCCGCGCCAGCGACATCGTCTACCGCGACGACCGCGCGCTGCTGCTCTCCCCTCGCGCCCGTGCTCCGGCGCTGGTAGAAGGATTCCGAGGCGCGGATGTCGACGCGGCGCGGTCGGCGTGCGCCATCGCCGCCAAGGAGCGTCGGCGCGCGGCGCTGCTGGCCATCGGCTACTTCGAGGTCGAGCTCGGCTCCCGCGACGCCACGGGAATCGCCGCGCGGGAGAGCCTCTTCCATCGGTCGGCAGGCTTGAGCTCGACGGAGGACGCCGATCTGGCCGCGCCGGAGGCCGCACGACTCGTTGACGCGATGGGCGGTGCCGTCGTCATCCCTCGGCGCCTGCAGCTCGCTGCTGGCCGCCGCCAGATGTCGCGGCAGCTGCAAAACAACGGCACGCAGGCGCAGCTGGACCAGGCGATGCGGCAAGCTGCGCGCGCGTCGGCGGTCCTCGATGAAGTGGGGATGCGGCGCCTCGTCGCGGTCCTTTGGACGTCGATGGCGAATCACGAATGGAAGCCTTTGCCTGAGGATGTCTTCATCGAAAAGGTCTTGCGGCCGGCGGGCATCGGCGCTGAGGCTCATGTTATTTGGCAGGAGCTCATGTCCGGGATACTCCTCCCTCTCGAAGCTATCTACAAGCCACACGAGGCAGCTGGATCACGCGAAGCCAGCGATGTGCGGGTTAACGACGTCGCGCATGTCACCTGTGTCCAGTTTCTCTGGTCTGCGTTTTATGGATTTGGCATTTCTTCATTGGCACGAGACGCCGCCACTTGCTTTTCGCCGTCGCGAAGCATCTTCCCAGAGATTTCTTTTGAGCAGTTCGTCATTCGACAGTGCGACGTCGTCCTTACCAACGACGACGGCTGTTGGTCCATGGCGCTCGCCGTTCTTGACTCCCTCGGAGCCGAGCGCGACGGCGAGACGTCGGGCGAAGCTGGCAAGCAACGCGTGTCCGAGGCCATTCAAAGTTTGCTCACGCAGGAGCGGGTCCACACGCTCGCTGCGGGCGACGAGATCGACTTCGCCGAGGGTGGCGACCCCGACCCACCTGGGCTGAGCCCGCTCGCGTGGCTCCGCGGCAGCGTTGTTTCAGTCGACTTCAAGACCAAGAAGGCCGTCGTCCGCGTCGGCGAAGAGGAAAAGGAGGCCTTCTTCGGTCAGCTCCGACTTGTGGAAGCGAAGCCGTGTGCAGCTATCGTGCTGCTGGCCCACGCGCTCGCAGATCATCAAAACGATGTCGCGCTTCGGATCCTCCAGTCGCCGCTCATGAAATCGCCGCTCTCATACATCGTTGGAGAACCGGGCAAGTCCATCCCAGTGCGAACTGACGCGCGATGCACCGTTCTCGATCACGCGATTGTCTCGAAGAACACGGTCGGCATCGGCCTGCTCTGGAACGCGGCTGGATCGCCGACTTCCACCGAAGCGTGGATGGCGGTCCGACGCGCGAGCCACTGCCTCAAAGAGACCAAGCAGCCTGGGTTCTGCTCTCCGGCTGAGCGCGCTGATCTTTTTTGCGCTCTGCGAGAAGGCCCGGGAGCCGTGAAGTGCAGATGGCCGTCATGGGCTCCCTTTGAAGGTTACCCCCACTGGGGTCCTGAGGAGGCGGCAGACGTCGAAACCTTGGAAATAATCGCAGCGTGCAACGGTGATCTCGCCACCATCCGCAAAGGCTTGGCGCGCTGCTCTAGTCAATCCCTGAAAGCGCGTCTCGTTTCACGGCCGTGGCAGGTCCTTTCATCACTCTGGCGGCCGTCGAGTCGAACGGCGTCGACATCTGATTCAGATTCTGATTCAGATTCTGATTCTGAGACTGATCCACGTGACGAGGCCAAGACAAACTATTCTCAGACTTGCCAAGTCATGATTATCTATGCGTGCAAGATGGGTCACGACGAGGTTGTCGCCGAGGTCCTCCGCCACAGTTCCTCTACCGTGATCCCGATCTGGTTTCCGGTACTCATCGCCATTGCCGAGGGACACCAGCCATGCTTAGAAAAGCTCCTGAGTCCTGGACCTAACCTGGACCAGTTTCTGTCTGCCTTCGCACCTGACGCCGGTCAAGTGAAGAACCTGGGCCATCGAGCCATTATGCAAAGTGTCGATGTCGGCAATGCCGCGGCCATCGAAGCTCTACGATCACGCGGAGTTCCTTTCGACAAATATAACGAAGACACGCTTTCTCCCCTCGAGCTAGCTTGCAGGGCGGGCCAAGCCGAGTGTGTGCGCGCGCTACTACGATGTCCAAAGGTCTTCGAGACCGTTTCTGGCGGCCAATCCGAGGCGTTTCATATTGCTGCGCACTACGGTTATGTAGCGGCGCTTGCGGTCCTCTTCGAGCACTTCTCCCTCACGAATGCGAAGGTTGATTCTATGTACGCCGATTCCGTGCTCATATGCGCAGTGGCAAGCGGAGAGTTTGCCGCAGTGGAACTCGTCTTGAAGCAGCCAGACGTCGACGTCAACGCCAAGCCGGAAGGGAGAATGAACGCGATCATGGTTGCGGCGCGCTCCTTGAATTACAATATCTTTGCCGCGCTCTTAGCCCGCGGTGCCTGTCTCGGCGAGCCGAGAGTGCCGAATGGAAACCTTGATCCTTTAGACTACGTTGTGAAAGCATGTCGCGAACCGCGCG